GAATAAATATGGACAAGTACATAAGAAAAATGATTAGCTGAGCTATAATCTTTTTTGTAAGATTGTGATGCTATATGGGATTATCAAACGATCTTTAATCGAACATTTGACATCAGGGATTGTGGACGATCAATTTATATTTACAAAAATTTATCAAGTCAAGAAATCAATTGTAAAAGATTTCATTTTATTTTGAATTTAAATCGAATTTGTACAAAATTCAAAAAAAAATTCAATAAACTCAAAATAATTTAGATTTCATCTAAATAAATTTGAAGTATTTTAAGCTACATTTTAATTAATTTAAGTTTCACTTTGTATAGTTATCTATAGAAATCAAAAGAAACCTTTTATCTCTCAGGTCTACTAGCAATGGTATCTGTACAAGCTTTTTATTATCGTTAGAAAATAATAGGAACGGAGCACGGCCGTTTTCTTACGGGATCTACTATAGTGATGATCGGATGTTAACGTATAATAGCAGTTTCTCTCTTTATTTCTGATCTATTTTTCTTGAAGTCATGTATTTTGACGATTGGGCTGTTGCATTTTAATTCACAAAAAATTATTATTTCCAGAAATTAATTCTCAAAAATTTAAATCTAAAATAATTTTAAATTTATTTCACATAACAATTTAAATTTATTGTAAATTAAAATTTTGGTATCAGAAAAATTTTTATTTAATTTAAATTTATATTGGCAACAGTTTTAGTTTAAAATAAACTTACAGGAAAATGGCACGCCTATCAGGAACCGAACCGAACTATAATGGTTCGGTTCGGTTCGAGTCGAACCGAACCGATCTCGAACCGGTTTTTTTAAAATTTAGCCGAACCGAACCGAACTCGAACCGATTTTTTTTAAACATAGTCGAACCGAACCGAACTCGAACCCACTTTTTTAAGACATATTCGAGCCGAACCGAACCCGGACCAATTTTTTAAAAAATTAGTCGAACCGAACCGAACTCGAACCCGTAAAAGTCGGTTCGATTCGGGCTCTGATCAGTATTAAACTTATACCATAATAATAAAATGTCGATAAGAACTATTTTTGTTGAAAACCAGTTGGTAGCATTAAGATCATAATGGATGTGGTATTTTTGCATTCCACTTTATTATCACATCATATGTTGTGTTGAAAAAACAAAATATACCAAAAGGTGCAGCGTGAAAAGCTCTACGATTTATAAAGTACCGCTTATTTTATAGTTGTACTTTTTGTTTTAAAAATGAACAAAACTTTGAGCTATCAAATTTCGACGTTGCGAAAACGAGATTGTTTTTTTGGTAAAGGATAAATTCTGTTTTTTCTATCTCATATTTTTATTACTTAATATGTTTTATTTTAAAAAGCAAAATACATTGCAAGATGCAGAGTGAAGAGCTCTACAATTTACAAACAACAATGATACAAAAATAAGATAGAAAAAAACCGAATTCGCTTCTTTATCCAAAAAACAGTCTCGTTTTCATCATGTCGAAACTTGGTAACTCAGAGTTTTGTCCATTTTTAAAACAAAAAGTACAACTATAAAATAAGCGGTACTTTATAAATCGTAGAGCTTTCCACGCTGTATCTTCTGATATATTTTCTTTTTTTTTAATACAACGTATTGAGTTATAATAAAATCAAATGCAACAGTGTCCCATTTCTAATGCCACACTCCTTATGATCTAAATCCTACCAACTGGTTTTCAACAAATATAGTTCTTATCCAAAATTTAATTATTATGATATAAGTTTAATACTGATCAAATAGCATAGAAAGATGCAGCGAGAGACGCTCTATCTTTTCATAAAAAAGAGAATTTTTCCAAGCGGTCTATACCAAAACACAATATCAGGCACACTATTTTTGGATAACCCTAAGTAGTTGCCGGCGAGACTAAAAAAGACTAAAAAAGACTCTTTTTTGATCAAATAATATTCGTCAAAAATCTATCGTTCATACTTGTCACTCATACCTGAATCTCAATTGGAATGACCACGAGCATGTGGTGCAGCCCTTTATATACTAGGGCATGAGACTGAAAAAGACTAAAAAAGACTCTTTTTTGAACAAATAATACTCGTCAAAAATCTATCGTTCATATTTGTTACTCATACCTAAGCCTCAATTAAAATGACCACGATCACGTGGTGCAGCCCTCTATATAGTAGAGCATGAGACTGAAAAAGACTAAAAAAGACTCTTTTTTGATCAAATAATACTTGTCAAAAATCTTTCGTTCATACTTGTTACTCCTACCTAAGTCTCAATTAAAATGACCACGAGCACATGGTGCAGCCCTTTATATAGTACGTCATGAGACTGAAAAAGACTAAAAAGGACTCGTTTTTGATCAAATAATATTCGTCAAAAATCTATCGTTCATACTTGTTACTCATACCTGAATCTCAATTGAAATGACCACGAGCATGTGGTGCAGCCCTTTATATAGTAGAGCATGAGACTGAAAAAGACTAAAAAAGACTGTTTTTTGATCAAATAATACTTGTCAAAAATCTTTCGTTCATACTTGTTACTCCTACCTAAGTCTCAATTAAAATGACCGCGAGCACATGGTGCAGGCCTTTATATAGTAGGGTATGAGACTGAAAAAGACTAAAAAAGACTCTTTTTTGAACAAATAATACTCGTCAAAAGTCTATCGTTCATATTTGTTACTCATACCTAAGCCACAATTAAAATGACCACGATCACGTGGTGCAGCCCTTTATATAGTAGA